AACACATCACAACCCAATGAGTCAAGCTCCGGAGCAAGACTGAAATTTCTTTGTTTGCGCACTTGTTTTTATTGTAAAGATTTTCTGCTGAGTCATCTCTTTCTTAATCCTTCCCACTTGGCTCTGATCGTAACGATATCCCACCTCTGCTGAGTCACTTTTTCTCCTTTCATCCTACCACCATAATGGTGTCATATTTCTGCTGAGTAATGTTTTTCCTAGACAATCTAAGACCGCCTCCTCTTACTAGGGTCATTCTCAGGACAAGTTGTAATTCCCCTAATTTTCCACCAGTGTTTCTGAGCCCATTCTCATGCTATTTTTAGAAATGATGCCTAGGTACTTCTCCACCACAATGCTTAAATGCTCAGTGAGCGTGTGTGTCATAGGAATACATGAAATAATAAACCAGTGTGTAATTTGTCAATGCACAGTGCACAGAGTACACTGCTTCAACACGTATCTTTTAAAAGTCAACTAAAAGGTACAGTATATGTCTTCAGTGAATCAGTACATTACACTACAATAGCTGCCTCATGTGTTGGTCATTGCTGGTCCTACGAGGTTTCCAGGATTGAGCACACTGCACTAGAAATCAACAATCACGTTTCAAAAACAAAACCTAACTTCTCAATGTCTAGAAAAACGAAAATATTAATGAAAAAAATCAAGTCTTTTCAAGTATCCTGTCAAGGTCTCAAGTCACAAATACTAAGTCAAAGTTGAGTCCTTTATCAGCGTTAGTTCAGCAAGTCTCAAGCCCTCAAATTTGTGACTTGAGTCAAGTTATGTGACCCAAGTCCACTGCCTGCGTGAAATCTACACTTGGGTGAGGTCTAATACACCTACATTAAGCTGCCTATTGGAGGCTGACCATTATAAAGCAGCGTCATGGCATGCAAGATGCCGACCTGTGGTATGTTCTTGAAATAACAAAGGACAGGGTTCCCACACATTTTCACTGACAAAATTTCAAAACTTTTCCATGATTTTTCAAGGACCCATAAAAAAAGATTTTCCAAAACTGTTCACAACATATGAAACAAACAGAAGTTTAAACTATACTTAACTCCAAATGTTAATTGTTGTATGAAAATTAATCAGCAACCTTTTCCAATTTCTAATAGTCGGTTATGTTCATATTCACTTTAAATACATCAAACTACGGGCACAATCATACAAACACTTACTGTGTATCTTTCTGCCGCTGGCTTTTAAGCATGAGGAAAAACAGAACTGATCATACCATAAGTCTTTTCTTAATGCATTTGATTACAAACTCATTGTGTGTAAAACAATATAAGAACGTCTGCGCTTTTAAAGCCGCAGAAGTGGACATGGAAAGTTATCTACGGAAGATTACTGTAACAATTAATTTCATTACACACAAGTTTTCATGACTTTTCCAAAACTTTCAATGATTTTCTTTTACTAAGTCCATGACTTTTCCAGGCTTGGCGAATGAGACTGTGAAATTTCATGACTTTTCCAGGTTTTCTATGAACCCTGAAAGGAGAACCAAGTCATGAACTCACATATATCTGAAATACAGGAGGAACGAGATTATTTAAAGTGTGACTGTAGGGAGATGACTGGGAAATTAAAATCAACAGAGAACAATATACAAGACCTACCAGGCCGTCAACCCAGATATATCTGTCTATCCATTTTATACCAGCAATATACTGAATGCTGAAGACTATTTGAGGTTAATTTTTACAAGGTTCTGGATGCCTTCTCACAGACTGCAAGTAGAAATGAGACAGTGGAGCTGCACACCACCCAGGCAACACCTGTGCTGCTTTAAGACTAGTATACAAAATGAAGAACACATACTTGTGTGCCCTCCCACACAGGATATCCATGACATATATGGGCATGACTCCACTGAACTGAGTTACGTTGTTACACACTTGCCTTGCGCTTTTTATTTCTTGTACTTGCTTTCCAACCTTGTGGGGCCAGCTGCAATCCACATCTCAAGTAAAAGCAGCATGAAATCAGAACTGTACCCTCAAATACCCCAAATAAAGATAACTGTACAGCACAATACTGGCGGTGATCGTTAAAAGTTCTCTTCAACAACAGCGACCTGAAACACACAAATTTAAACAATCCCAAGTTTTAACATAGACTAGTCCATACCCATTGGCAGAGTTGGGCAGAGTACTTTGATTACTTTTTGCAGTAATGAGTAGCCTAACGCGTTAGTTTGCTGTTTGAGTAATCAAATACTTGAGTACATTTTCAAACAAGCCATCAGTTACTTCCATTACGGTCCTTCAGCTCCGAAACAGCAACAACTGTTTTTAGGTTCTAATAACGGAGATAACGTTAAACCTATCAGTCCGAAAGAAGCCACGAAGCTTGTGGCTAGCTATGTGGTAGAAGAAATGCTGGCAAAACACGCAGGATCCCTCAGTAAAATACCCACGACTCAATAGATGGGGGAGGACTCGCTGACAGACAGGTCAGACTCAGGACTTGCATTATGCCTGGTACACACTACACGACTTTTCTGCCCGTTCTGAAAGTCACTATGTCACATCACACAATTATGGAGTTGTAAAATCGTGCCGTGACTTGGCCGACAGACATGACACACTACACGATAGTACTCACCAATTATCCCCGGTCGTCTTTCATGTCATCGGGTTATTCTTGTCCTATTTTTATTACTTTTACTATTATTTCAGTCACTGTGTCTGTTCATGTGCCAACCAAAATGTTGTTGTAGTCACCTAAAAGCGGCAGCAGATGGCAGGAGCTACATTTGAAGCACCGTATGCAAACATTCAAGCTACTGAATCCTCCACAAGTTCCTACAAGTGTTTCACAATAATAGCCTATTTAGAAAATGGAGGGATTCTCTCAGCCGAGGTTATAAGGGGCTTTTAATTTGAAACAAATTCAGGAAGTATTGAGTTTGAAATGACGGCGCAATGTGTTAACTTTATAAAGACAACGGGAGCAGATAAAAAGTAAATATATAAAAATACAGAGGGATTAATAAATAATGGACAGTCTATAATGTAGTTTGTTTCAAATGAAGCTGGGAGCCTCTGCAGCTGTGGTGAGTAAAAGCCCTGCCGCTCGTTGTTAATGTTATTACTTTATGTCGGTATCTGTTATGAAGAAATAACATTGTTTGCTAGCTTGATGCTAATGACAGTAGCCTACTCACCGGGTTGACAAGGTGCCTCTGCTGTTTCACACCATCATTTCCCCTTTTTACTCTGTGTGGTAACATCCCTAGAGGAAATATTAAAAACGCTGGGGTGTTGTTGTCATTCAGTTGTCTACGGCAGCAGATCGTTCTGTGTTTCTACTGGTCAAAATGACGGCTGTGATGGGAGAACTGGATCTTAGTGAAGGGCAAGTGGTCCGTAACTTTAATTTTGCAGACAAAAAATGTAGGCTGAGCGCCCTGTGGTCCATTGCCCAATAGGAAATGTAGAATACTCAAAAGTACTTTAAAAATACTTACTTTTCTCAGGGAGTAACTTTGTAAAGTAACTGGTTACTTTTTTTTAAAAAATAACGCAGTAAAGAACTTTGATTACTTTTAAAGTAACCCTTACCCAACTCTGTCCATTGGTAGCTTTGTCACCTTCTACCTATGCCAATCCTCAATGCCTATGTGCAGTTTCACATAGATTGACCACGTCAGTGAGTAGAAAAATTTGGGACAGACAGAATGACTGACTGACAGAATGACACACTGACAGTTTCCGTGATTATGTACAGCATGCCATACCATGACTGTCATACCAAAAATTAGAAGAAAAACAACAACATTCAGCCACAGCGATTGGTCACATTTTAGCCATTTTAAAGCATTTTTCTGTTGTTATAGCGCCACCCAGTTGCCAATTAGAGTTAAATTTCTCCAGTCACCTTGAGGCGTTCTGTTCTACATATCTACCAAGTTTAGTAAAAATCCATATGGCGGTTAGGCCTAGATAAGAAATGAGCTCTCTAGCGCCCCCATTTTGTTTGATGGGGTCAATAATGGAGGGGTCCCCTCAGATTATGTGTGGTCATATGCCTACAAAGTTGCGTGGTGATGGGTGAAACCCTTGAGATGTTATACACCTTTATGTGATGAGCCACGCCCTCCGCAATATTCATTGCCTTATAGAAGCTCAGTTTTAGTAAGTTTTCCAACTTTTGCCAAGAGGGAACTTTAGATATTGGTCCCTAGATTATGTTCACCCAGTTTCATGCAGATCAGTCAAACTTCCTAGGAAGAGATTGATTTTAAGTGTTTTTCAAAAAATTCAAAATGGCAGAAAATCTATATAAGCGGAAATTATGGGTTCTTGAGGCAAATGTGTTCCTCATGAGGAGAGGCATCTCTGTGCAAAGTTTCATGTCTCTACGACATACGGGCATGAGATATGCCCATTCAAAGTTTGCAATTTCAATGGGTTGCTATAGCGCCCCCCTTTTGCCAATTGATGTAATATTGCTTCATTGGCATCCTCCCATGACCCTCTACCACTGTGCCAAATTTCACATGGATTGACCAAGTCAGTGAGGAGAAAAACGTGGAACAGACACACAGACAGGCAGACGCACAGACAGAGTTTTCATCATTATATAGTAAGATAACAGCCAGTGGAATTTCAGACTCTCGCCATCAAAGCGGTAAGGTGCGTCAGGTGACATGCAGACATACCACACCTGCATAATCACACGTTAAAATGATGGTGACTTTCAGTCTTGGTTCCAATTAACTTGCTCACTGCTTGTCATTTGAAGGTGTGGTAAAACTCTTGCAACCAAGTTTCGTTATGTCATAAATGCTGTTTTGCTTGGATGCTTTAGATAAAAGGCAAATGTGACAAATCATATCTGAACAACAACTCAGACATGGAACTTTGTCCAGCACACACAACAGTAAACTAATTTTGGCTGTGGTTTCAGGAGTACAGGTGTCTGTTTGATAGGAGAGTCCACCTGCTAGATAAAAATGAATAAAGCACAAGATATATCCATGAGTTCAAAAAAACACAGCCATTTATTTTACATTACTATGTACACCACATTATTTAATGGGCTAAAATAATACAGGGGCAAAATGAATAAACCCAATAACTTCTTCATAAGCAAGTGTCAGAAATATCTGACTGTAAAAAAACAGCTTATTGTCTAAAATGTGAGGTTCTAGTTTTACAAGGCTAAAACTCACTGGGGTTCAGGGAAAGGGTGAAATACAACTACACAAAAGTATGTACATACATTTGACTTTTTTTTTTTTTTTTGACGCTGCCATGAACAGCGATAAATGCTGAACATAGTCTGCAAACTGGTGTAGATGAAGTGAGCACATACAGCTAAACGCCTTCATCATAGACTAGCTGAACGAACACTTTGTCATTAAGTGCTTCGTTCTGTCTGTAGACGTACATAGGCGTATTGTTAGCGGATGGGCTGGTTTCCCTGCTCGTCTGCTCCTCACTTCTCTCAGTATCCTCCTCAGAGATCAGGTCATTGTAGGACGCTACACATTGATCGTGATCCTGGAGGGACGCGGGATATTGGAGAGAGGATCTCTCAATTCGGACTGAGCGTCTAACTGGAGTGAAAAAGCGAACCTCGTGGCCGTTGACTCGCGCTGGGTCCTTCTGTTGGCTTGGCGGTCCACTGAAGGAAAAGAAAGAAAAGAAATCAAGAAATAACTGTGACTTTATTGTGAGTACAGAAGGTCATGACAGCCTCAGGATCATCTCCTCTCTCTCCTCAGCCCTCCCCCTTTCCATAGTCTGCAGACACAAGTGACTGTGATTATTGTTTTTCACGTGTGTTACTGTGTAAACATATATGTGTGTGAGGGTGTGTTAAGTAGACAACTATCTGGGGGGGGAGCAAAGATGACACCTGTCATGTCTTGCATTCCCTTTCCAAAGGAAGAGAGGGAATGATTAATCAGTCACATGTACACTAATCAGTTTCCTACGCATTAATGTACTAGTGGCAGGGCGCCATGATGACACAATCTGTTGTCACGTACTGATTAGGGTTGCTGTGGTTTGAGATTTTCACGGCACGGTGACCGTCTCAAGTATCACAGTTTCACAGTTTGACATAACAATTATTATATTATCCGGGTTATTTTTCTTGAACAAACATTTTATTATCATTATTGAAACTTGGAGACATTTTTTTAAGTCTCCCTTTTGAAAATACATATAATAAAGGTGACACTCTCCATCCAGTTATATATATATTTTTTCCAATATCATAGATAAGCAAATAAATGTATACGGTCGATAACCATCAATTTTCATATCACAGTTTACCTTAAAACTGGTATTCTATTTTTGAACATTCCTAAGAAGTGCTATTGGAATTTTATCTCTGAGCTGATGTGTAACTGCGTCTTATCTTAACTACTCAAAATGAAAGACGAATATATGCAAACAAACATCAGTAGCAAATTTAATACAACGGTACTTTATCTTGACATGTAGGCACATATCTTACTATTAACTAGTACATTACCTGTTCAAAAGGAGCATTGGAAACTCATCATGCTTGAATCTCTTTTCTTCATTCAGATGTTTCCAGTGTGAAGACATCAGGCAAAGTATTCACCCTCAACTTTGAATTATTTCTTGTGTCTGTCCCTCGCTGCCTGCCATTTAATTGATTCAGCCACTAGGGCCAAAGTTGAAATTCACGCTCATCTGTATTGTCACTAATTACAGATGAATTCATAGTGATGATTTGTGTGAGACCTCAAAAATGGATAAAATATGTCCTGTGTGCCAAGTCTGGTGGGAACAGATTTTATTTGCACTGTGAGCCAAGAGTCCAACCATGTCACCATAGTGGTCAATCCTATCTTCTAATAAAACTCTACAATGCAGATGACATAAATTACTAAATGTAAACTATGTTCATACCTTTCTCGGGGTAGGAGTCACCAGAGGATCCATGATACGATATAATCACAATACTTAAATCACGATAAAATATTATCCCGATTTTAAATATGTTCCAATATGCTGAGTATTGTGATAAAATACATTGCAATATACTACCCTTTTTCCAACTGTAGATTATGTCCCCAGAGGAAAACTTTGTCAACATCTGTTCTATCTAATAAGATAAAGTTTTTAGTTTGCTCACACCACTTCAGCCTTTTTTGCAGCAGCAGCAAAATGTATCAGTAAAAGCAATTAATTAAATTATTCAAGTAGGCTACCTGAAGTTTAATCTATATTTTCATTATTTACTGTTTATATAATACAAAAATCAATACTTGGCACAGTGTGATGATACGATTCTGTCACGCTGTATACATTTTCCCCCACCTTTAATAACTTATGTTACAGATTTAAGACTCAACAGTGAAATAATTTCCAGGTTTTTCCTTAAAGTCTGGATCACTAACAAAATGTATTCTACTCCACACTTAAACAAACTGGCCGGCATTAAGATGTTAAATTTGTTGCTGGAAGTTGTACTAATGACTGAGACATACCCAGGAGTTGCTGTGATCTTGTACTTGACTACAGATGAGTCTCCTTTCTCTCCCCAGATGAGAGCTCTCACAGGTTTGGGGGTCATCATCAGGTTGTTGATACTTTCGGGAGTGCTTTCACCTGTTGGAATTTGGTCCTCCTCTTTCTCATTTTCTGCGGACACTGACAAAAACATAAACATCTGATTTATCTTATTCAGAAAAACCTTATCATTTGTAAGAATGTGCATTTTATTTAGATTTCACTGTTGAAATTACAACATCAATTAAATAAGCATTAATTTGTGCGTCTTTTTGTGTCCGCCTGACAAATGTCCTGTCTTTACTCTTCTTTAGCTCAAGCTAGCCATGTAGCAAGCAATTGGATTTTAGGGCTTTTCACTGAAAACTAAGCTGAGGAACATGAGGGAGTGTGAACTGAAACAGTAACGCTGCAGGCTGTAAAACTAAAATAATGAGTTAAAACCCTCCATAGAGTTGAAGGGGCTGCAGTGTTGGGTAATAATTCTGTGTAAGTTCGTCTCTACGAGCCACACCTTTTACATGATATGTAGATTTTTCCTATTACATAAAAAACTGATTATATCAGTTTTAAACGCAATGGGGGAACAATATCATACACAAAATGACCTAAAAACAGACCTCCATGACGATGAAGTGCTTTGAGAATATAGTGTTAAAACATGTCCTCACAGTGGTCTGTAATCATAGATGCTTATCAGTTTGAGCCAGCCAGACTGGAGGTTGATGACTACTACTACTGAGCGGAAATTTCCAGTCTACTACACCCCAGAAATGTGGTTGAAATTTACAGTGGTTCCAAACAGGGCATGCAGGCCAACTACCTTGGATCTCATCCTTTTTCTTCAGAATCTCAAACACCACAGTCCGCAGCTCATCCACTGGCTGCAACAAAACAGAAGGACATAAACTTAACAGGAACATAGAGAAGAAATTACTGATTTTAGATGACAAAACAACATAAACTGTTGATTCTAATCTCATGTCAACCATTAAAGCTGTCAGGAATAATATAAAAAGGCTTAACTGTGCAGTGAAGTGTCGGTCAACAATCATTATTCATATCAAAACTCTTTTTTTGTTGTTATTCTAAACAGACATTAAAATAGTGGCTGCATGGGCTCGGTGCATTTGACAGTTGAAAAAGCAAGTGCAGCAGTGGTGGCAATGTAAACAGATCTGTTAATGTTACTCACAGCGACTAACAGGAAAATGTTCACATTTCAAACTGTCACCTGAGGTTTTCCCGAAAGGATTAAACTCCTTGCGAAATCGGGGAGTGATTGCACCATGCTAAAAAAATTTTTTAAAAACCCTACACTTTCAGTTTACACGTATTTGCTGGTCAGAGTGGCGACAGATGCATTAATGACTAAATATGACACATCTTACAATTTCTACAAAGTTATTTATATTCATTGAGCTTCTGAGTTGAACAGACATATGATAAAACTAATCACAAATTACAGTATTTGTCAACACCACTGGTAAAACATGGCACCTGTTTTTAACTTTATTTCCATACATAGTCATTCATGTGACAGTATGTCTATAACAACCTCAATTTCCAATTTATGATTCTATATTGCTGCAGTCAGCTGTAGTGGCCGTGTTTCCCTGTGACAACTAGAATTAAGAAACCGCATAATGTCAGCTGAGATAAGTTTTGTTTCTTAAGCGGAAACCGAGTCAGCTATCAGAGCGTAGCGGCAGTTTCCACTTCCAGGGTTTCTGCTGCTTTGGCCTATCACTGATGATAAAGACTTAGCTGCCATGCACTGAGAGGTCAGGCAGAGATCAAGCAAAATGATAGTATTGGTGCTGCTCAGTAATGACAGTAGGGTCACTACACTGGATAATTTTGTTGGGATTCTGTATGTTATTGACTATATTGACTGTGTGTGTGTGTGTGTGTGTGTGTGTGTGTGTTTATATGTGGGGGTGGGAGGGGCAGGTTTTCAATATGTATGTATTATTTTTGTTTGTTTTTATTCTGTGAAGCACTTTGTGCTGCATTTTTAATGTATTAAAGGCGCTATACAAATAAAGTTTGATTGATTGGATGATTACAAAGTAAATGTTTCAATAACAATAGTCTGAATTTGTATATGACAAGCAGTTTAATGAAGCAGTGCATTACTTTTCTGGTTGATAATATCAGCAAAAATATTTTCTAAATAATATTACCATCTTCTAATATATATTTTAAATACTGACCAGAGGCTGACGACATGAATCAAGTCCTCTGATGTATATGAAGTAAACACAGAGCAGGACATTTTCCAGTTGAAAAATAAACTTGTCAGTGCTCTCTAGAGGGCAAACTGTGGAATGGCATCAATGTCTCTAAACATAAAATCACATAGTATATCTTTGGCATTTCTGTACTGAATTTTTTTTTTACTTATCAACTGACATACACACAATATCAAAAGTACTGCATCTGTGATAACTTATTATCAGGTGATATATCAGCTTTTGTGATTAACCGGTTGGTTGACAAATGTCCATCCTCTCATGTTCAGAGTTCATACATGTTTTAATAATAAATTTAGACAACTTTTCCAATGTTTTTGTAGTAAATGTTCATGACCATTCTCTGACACGTTTCCTAAAATAAGGAGCCAGGCCAAAAGTATAAATGAGCACTTGTGTGTAAGTGAGAATTAACCAATTTTGCTCCTCTGCAGTTAGGGCTTTGTGTCTGGACACAGCACTCAAAACGGCCCTTTTTTTGACTAGAGTGAAGCACTGCAGCTGGCAGCAGCTGTCACGTTGGTCACTGGGGCAAACGACGGTAAAGGGGAGTTGATTTGTGCAGCAGCAGCAGCAGCCTGGTTCTTAACGTTAGCTTCTTTGTTATGGCTAACCACAGTTTGCGATGATTTTTATGTCAGAACATCAACGAACACCACTGACCACTCGGTGAGTTTCATGGCTTTGAAAACGAATGTTTAGGGTGGTTTTAGGACAGATTCACACATGGCCATAGAAAGCAGTGTTAAGCCAGGCAGGGGAAAGCCAAATTCTCCAAAAAGGAGCAATCGTCACTATTTTGGTTTTAGCCACTCTATTTCATCATAAAAAACAGAAATGGGGGTCCAAGTGCAAAATACCGGACTTCTCCTTTAAGTATTTCTCCAGAAGAAACCGCTGAGAGTAAAACTTGTGTTTCGGATGTTATCATCATACTGTCCATGATGTGTCAGCATTTTGTTTTGGTGCTCTGTACAGATCTGACTTACATACTGTTCACCCGCCCACCTGCTCTCATCCCTGGCTCTATGAAGCTCAGAGCCACTGATTCCTAGTAAAGGCTGCAGGGCAGCACGAAGGTCCCCGGAGAACACTGGTAGACAATAACCTTGTAATTTAAGGTTCATAAACATCCAAATTCATGAATACGTAGGATATTACGAGAGACATTCCTGTTATTTTACATTTCAACATCTGCTGTGACAGCAAATGCTTCTGTCACTCGCTTCAGTAACAATTATGCTTTACCATCCAGGGGATAATGTGATTGTGCTACTGATCGATAATGTGTTGACTCATGTCGAGGATGTTTTACAGTCCAGGCCACCATTTCTTGCCATATATATCATATATCTCACACAAGGCGAGTTTTGTTGTTGTTTCCCATTTTGTGTGGTCTCAAGAAGTGAAAAGAAGACATAAAAGCTTTTCTCAGAATTATAGAGAAAAAAACAAATTTCTTAAAATGTTGACATTTTTATAGATTATGCATAATACTTATATTTCTATGAGATAATCACAACTCAGTCATCTGATTTATCTTATACTGGGTAGATTTTGGTGCTCTCTAAACTCAAGATGTGACATCTGTATAAGGTTTTGTACATATACTGTAAAAATACATATACACTCAGTGGTTGTGTGGATAAAGTTTTAAGATTTGGGATTTACTTAACTTTCAGATACATTTTCAACATAAATGGATATAACCATAATTAGAACCACATAACATCAAACAATTTAACACTCTATTATGTCAAAAAACACATTTTTTTTATAGGGGACCCACTCAAATGAGCACCTGTGGGTCCCAGGTGCTCCCTGCATTTTATTTTATTTCTATATTCAGTGTGCATAGGCTATTCATTGTCCAGGGTCTATGTTGGCAGCCCAGACCTAAAGCAGAAAGACATTAAAACTGTATACCTGTAACTGTATATTTTTATTTATCGCAAGTCATATCGCCACTGCAATATTCATTAATATTGTTTTCCTGATATCGTGCGCACTAGCTCAACCCCTGTATGGTTTGCCATCATATTGCAAATCCTTAGAGAATGTTGTCTATTTTGGGGGGAAATTTTACTGAGAAACAGTTTCTAGATAAATTTACAGAATCAAGTGAATTAAACACATGATAATTCAAAGTATTTCATTCACACTGGCGCATATGTAAATGTAATACACCAAGGTCCGCTCACTGAACGTAAACACACACTATTTCGAGAATATCATGGATGACTTACCTCCACCACAAGACCAACAGCCTCTTCAAACATGGGCAGGACATCCAGGTTGCCTTCTTGTTCCATCAGGCGGGCCTGACAGATCCAGTATTTGGTAAACTTCTGGGACACTGCTGGCAGCCGTGTGAGGACCTCCCTCACCTGGTCTGGAGGGCAACCCTGTGGGTGCGAGGCACGTTTACATCAAGTTCATACAATGAGAGAAAGGGTATCAGTATGCTTTAGCTGAGGTGTTTGTTGTGTGGTCCGATGTAGTCACCATCCAACTACCCAAAATTGAAAGTTACGCCCACTTTACGCAGTGAAGCATGATTTGAACTTCTCTCTGAAGTTCTTTTCTTTTATTCTTTACACAAACAAGTGCAGCATTTTCAAAACCTTCCAGCAGAGACTGTGTCAAACTGTGCATGTTTAAATGATTGTCTCATCTCAGGCACCTGTGTAACAGCAGGCCACAAGCCAGTCTTCAAGTTTGGTCTTTCAGAAACACTTTGCCTACCAACATGGCCAGAAAAATTAGTTACACCCCTGCCTTACATCAATTTAATTTCTCTTCAGTTAAATCTCTGTTTATACAGAGCCATGTGAAACAATGTCCTTGCACACTCCCACCCTCTGAAGTGCGTCCAAATTAGTTACACCACTGCCTTACATCGATTTAATTTCTCTTCAGTTAAATCTCTTTTTATACAGAGCCACGTGAAACAATGTCCTTGCACACTCCCACCCTCTAAAGTGCATCCACCACATAACTTCCAGTGAGATGTAACATCCTGTGAGAGGTGACATCAGACTAAAAGAGACCAGTAAAAAAATCCTGGCTGCAGTCCATATACCTCTCCAAGCAATTTGATGCAGTCAGCCAGGGATCGGTCCATGGCACAGATGAGGGAGTGGGCTTCGTCTTCCTCATTCATGGTTGCCCAGAAAGGCTGGGGCACAGCCACAGTGCGCCTAACCTGAGGCTTCACCGGCATTGGAGGACGCTTGTAGGAAATGCCCTTGGCTTCCCGCCATTCGCGTAGCTTTCTCCTTGACACCAAACAACAGAGCAGAGGATATAGTTGAAAGGCAACATTATTTACCTCATTGGACAGCACAGCAGAGAGACACTGGGAGAGAAAAGAATAACAGAAGTCCCAGGACAAACTGAGGTTGACACCCTCACGCCTGGACACACAACTCTTGTTTCTTCTTCATAACTAAAAGGAAAATCATCTCGTTGTTCGACCAATCAGTGCAAATTTTGTTGGCACTTCTAACCTCCTAGTCTGTGTATGCATTTATCTTGAAACTTACCACTTATTTAACAAACAATATGTGAGAAATTATTTGAGTATTGTTAATACACCAAACACTTTGCATATTGATGTGGATCATTAATATTTTTGAGTGCCCGGTTCAAACAAACTGCCAGATTGCTGGTATGTCTGTGTCCACGGGTCCATAGACTAGGGTAATGTGTGTGCATCTTTATCACTATCAATCAAATCTGATTCATCACTAGCTCAGATTGGGTTGGGACACAAATAAATTGATTGGGAAATCTCCATTAATAAGCATCTTCTGATACAGACTACCAATGCGATATTTAGATTTTCTAACAGCTGTACAGCAAGGCTTAAGTATTGCTCCATAAAACTTGTAAAGCTTGAGGTATGTTTGCCAAACTTAATCTCCCTTTAAGATACACTATGCAGGATTTTCCTAAACCAACAATGTTTGGACTAATACAGAAGTAATCCCTCTCAATCATCACCTATGACCCACTCTCAGTGTGTGGCGCTGTATTTATCTGCAGAGACTCTGCTCTCTGCTAGTATTTTCCTCCTATTTTTCTGCACTCAGGACGTTTATGAGCGTGCAACCCCACGATGCTTAGATGAGGGCAGGGCTTTAGAAAAACGTAGTGACCAGGGCCAGACCGTAAGCAGCAGGAATCCAAAAGACTCAGCACATTAAAAAAGAAAAAACAGATTAAAAAAAAGCAAATATAGGAGGATATTTGTGATTTAAACATTTGTCTGTTCAGATTCCACTTCACGAAACGCAAGCAGGGTGTCTCTGGTTAGCATGGAGACTATTTAAAACCTTTTGCTGAAGCAAACACTGAATATGACGCTTGCTTGTTTAATTTCTGTCAGGCCACATTTAATCACTAGACCACAGTGATGTTGAAACAACAAAAGCATTGTCTGTACATGCCCAGCGATCTAATCAGACAAAGCATTCTTTAGTTTTCAAATTCTTGACCTGCCACAACGGTTTATGAATATTGTAACTTTTTACCTTATCAAAAAACGTAGCCATGTCAACGTGCTTGTTTTGCCAGGGTTTTCAGAGTGAGGCGGTGCAAAGTAAAAGAAATGATGTCGAGAAAAATGTGGATTTAGAACAGCCTTGTCTATTGGTACATATCGATTATGATTATTTTAATTCCAATTCAGTACTCAATACTAATTTTCCACAGTGAGGATACTACTTTCACATTCTCTCCTCTCTCCAATAGAGAGTTCACACACACACACACACACACACACACGGACACACACCACTGCAATGCCCCCAAAGCCCAGCCTCCTCTCAGTGCTGTCTATTCGTCATTTGCCTGTTTCACTCCGGTTGTGTAGGCTTTTGCGGTACCATTTTGTTTTAATTTGTAATTTATCAGCTTTTGAATGTGTGACAAGCTAAGAGGCTTTGGAACATATGCAATAATGCAAGAATAACCTATTATTTTCATCAGTGTAAAAAGTTTTAGTCATTGTTAATGTTTACGACAGTCATTTTGCTGTTCTCTGCTACTAACCAAAATAAAGTTTTTATGGTGAAGTCTTGTTAAATGTATCTTAAAATAAACATTTTAAATTTCATGCCCTTAATGGCAATTTTTCCTAATGGTATTAGACGCTGATTGGCCAATCATAAGTGTCCCTGTGGCACTCATCGGTCACAAGCCAAACTCTTAACAATGGTCACGTACAGTGGATGCTGACATTGTAATGATTCAATGGTGCTGTATCATAGTTTCATGCTACACATTTACCAGTAGTTGTACTCGTCTACTTACATTCTTTCCTCCTGGGCAGCGGTCACCTTCTTTCCCTCAGTCTGGGGAAGGACCCTGACAGGGACCTTTGGCATCTTTGTGTCTGTGCCCTGACTGGTGTGGCTGATGGTCCGTGCAGGCCGTGGCACTGTCTGGGACATAACTGGAGCGCCTGTTCGTTTTGGTGGAGGGGCATTTGCTGAACCCTTCTTGCCATCGGTCTCTTTACATGTCATGGTTTTCCCTCGCAGCTCAGCCACTGCAGCACGCCTAACCCCACTGACTGCTCTGGAGCTGCACCTGCTCGTTGGCCCTGAGGATGTCTGAGCAGCAACTTTGCGTGATTGGCCATTTTTCTGCCCTCCACTCTCGAATCTCTGCTTTGTGCACCTGTCTGTGGGCTGGCCAGCTGATTTCACAGTTTTTGACAACCCCTCTCTTCCCTTTGGCTTAATAGGTGCTGCTGTGCATTTGGAGGAGGTGGACACCGAATTCAGTCCACATGTTAGTTGACTCTTGCAAGATGGCTGAGATTGTTTGCCCAAAAGTGGTTTTGAGTTTAACTTGTTCTGTTGTTGAACTTTAATTCCAGCTGTTGATCTCTCATTAACAGGGTTATTTAGAGCAGTGGCAGGTAATGTTTTTCTCTGAGCCATAGCAGACCGCTGGGAAACAGAAGCTGATGACAAGGAGCTGGATCGTACCTTATTAGCTACAGAAGCAGTTGTGGCGATGGTGGTATCAGCTGCTTTGGCAGAGGTGTGTCTTAAGTTTTGACTCTGAGTGTTTCTTGGCTGGGTCACTGCAGGAATGAGTCCTGTCTTTGTTTTGACCATGGGGCCGAGACTCATCCTGATACTGGCTGTCTTCACTGGACATGACCTGGTAGCATTTGAGCTCCTGCTGAATCTGCTGTTTGATTTTGTAGCAGCTGTATGAGCTGCATTTGAAGAGATTCTGCCTGAAGATGGACTTCCTGTTTCTGGCCGCTTTTTAGGATGGGTGGCTTCATTCCAGTTGGATTTGGACGACACAACGGTGTAGGTTCTTGTCAGCACAGGGTTTTGATTAAGTTTTGGCTGTGCTGGGCCAGAGGTTGCAGCAGTACGACTGTTATTTCGCCGCCCAGTTGGGATGTTGGCTTTTATATTCACTTTGTTAGTAACACCAAATGCTTCTCTGGCAGGCTGTTTTGTGGATTGAGCAGCCAAAGTTTGAATTTTTGTGCCTTCATATCTGAATCTGTCCGCTGGAGCTGTGTTCTCTTTTTCCATGACCACCTGTAAAAACAAAAACATAAATTGGAAAACTGTAAGTGAAACAAATCACTATGAGTAACAGGCCAACTCAGCACGAAGTCAATGTTGACATCATTCTTTTGAAATTATGTTTTTTACACTTCATTAACTGTGTAAAGCCACACCCACCTTTTGTGTAGACGTGACAGGCCTCTTAACCTGGATGTCATCATGGAGGTATGGCCTGTCGAGATAAATTTAGTTACATTGATTACAACATCACCAGCGACCGCAATGACACACAATGTTTTTGTGCCGTAATGCAGATGATCGTTTTTCTTACTTAGAGTTGAGCTGTTTCAGCTTTCCCTTTCCTGACAAGTATTCCATCAACTTCTGCTTACGCAGCTCTATGACAGAAAATCACACAGAAATTCAGTACTTGTAACTTTCCATTATACTAAAAGAAGTACTTCACTGCTAGACAAGACAAAAATGTTTTTTAAACTGGTGTTGCATCACTACTCAAAACAGAGGAAAACGACTGTGGCATTCTCCTTTGCTCAAGAGGCAGAAAACCTACAACTACCAGAATGCACTGCACCGCACCATAGCAACAAACGCTTCTGCTAGTGGCTTAGTGTAGTAGTAGTAGTGTAAGTTGGCTTTGGCCGACCGTCAGAAAACAATATGGTGGACAGCTGTTAACAAGCAATCTCAAACTACACAGTAAGCTAAAATAATTGTAAGCATACAAAAAAGAGGAAGCACAATTTGTGGTTTGAGCGTTAGCCCAAAGGCTGAGCACATCTTATCGTGCATTTTCGCTGGCAAATGAGCAGGGAGACCTGGGCGCTGGCATGACAGAGGGAAGTTTTAAGTCGTTAATTTACATATTACCCACAATTTTTATGATACCAAAAATGGTTGAAAATCTTAGAAGTATCCCTTTACCTATAAATTCTATATTAAAGATTTACACCACGTGTTTTATCTGAAAAATTAGGCCTAATAAACAGCCACATACTGTACCACTTAATAAATGTGTCCACACAAACATAGTGTATATTCAGTGTAGATGCAGAACTCTTATTCATTTTGGACTTTGGGAATCACTGATCAACATTTTTCACATTTCTGACAATTTAAACCAAACGACCAATTAATTAATCGGGAAAATAAATTGACAGATTAATAAACAATAAAAATAATCGTTAGGTGCAGCCATAGCTGCCATAGCTGCAACAACTGACTATTTTACACAGGTTATATCCAGTGCTGCAGCTGGCCACCAGCGTGTTGTGGGACATGCCACTGGGGGGGGTTGCGCTGACTGCATTTGAACTGCAACAGCTGCCGACAAATGCTCCCTAGCTTCATCCCGGTTGAGCAGTCCACAGCAACAGGGAACAAGGCAGACTGACCATGGAGTGGCTAGCTAGCTAACTCTTGGGTCATGTCGTCTGATAACCTGAGAGAGAGCAGGGCAAGTTGAGGCTGAGCAAATGCACATGCAACTCTGTTCTACAATGAAACAAGATTAACAAGATCAATGTATGGGAAACACTGAGTTAAGGCTGTACAAACTTTTTACACTGAAAGTCTATGGAGAGCTGCAGTTGCAAAAATATGGGCTGCACATGGTGACCACAAAGGGGTCCACACTGACATGGGCAGATGGCGACCTTGACATCAGGCTGACTAGGGCTGCAACTAGGGTTGGAATTAGCACCAGCTAAATGCTGGGTGGCTGCTTGATTTGCTTCGCACCCCAGCCAAAAAAACCCCCACAATGGTTATCTACTGAGTGGCCGGGAGATTTTGGAAACCTCAGCCACAGTAGCAGGTGGACAAAAAGTTAATTTCCAACCCTGGCTGCAATCGATTATTTTCCTCAATTAATCAATCAGTTGTTCCTGTATAAAATGTCAGAAAATGGTGAAAAATATCACTCAATGGTTACCAAAGCCTAAGATGACATCCTCAAATGTCTTGTTGAGTAACTAGAAGATATTCAGTTTCCTGTCATAGAGCAGTAAAGACACCAGAAAATATTCACATTTAAGAAACTGTAATCAAAGATATTTTTTTAAGCTTCACAAACCTATAAATCAATTATCAAATTAGTGGGCGAGAATAACAGCAACTGTAACAACAGCAGATAATTCACCTTTACTGACACTTAACTTTCACCAACCATCAAGAAAAGCTCCTTCAGTTTATGTTGGTGTCGTTCCAAATGTATGAGTAACTGAGCTGAAGATTACACACACACTTGCTGCCATCTGGCTGCGATACATGTCAACTCTTGTGGAAAATCTAAATTTAGAGGAGGAACTGCACAAGAGAGCTCAAACGAACAGTTAACTTAATGTAATTTAATATTTTAAAGTGTGTATTTTGAGTCTTGCACTCATGGTATTTTTTCCCCCTCACTGTTAAAGCTTATATACCAAACTACTCACAGAAATGAATGGACAGAATAATATATGAGAAAGGCAGTCCTTTATTTATCTGTATGAATGGCTGTAAATTAGTTTGGGACACTTGTTGACAATTTACTTTTTAAATGAGACATGAATAATAACAAAGTAAATAGGATTATATAAGTGTACACTTCTTCCTACTCCTTTCGGAGCATGTCTGTTGATGTTTTGTTTGTTTTGTTTTGCTCGAAATAAAGTCATTCGTTCATCCAAATAATTTAGAACTTATTTCTCTGTTAGCCACAATCTATCCAGCGATGTTCTTTGTTTGTATGAAAGCCTGCCAGACTATTTTTAGTTTCTTTAACTTTAAGGGGTGATTACATGCCTGGCAGAGCATTACATGTTTTCAGCTAACGTTACACTGATCCACTCATGCCTTCACAGAACATGTGTACCAACATGAGAAACGCCCCATAACCAGAGTCCTGTATTTTAAATAAGATACTCATCCGGTTTGTAATGCTTATTCACAAAGTAACGTTATTATGGAGGCCGGTGAAAAAGACTAAGAGGCACAGCGACCGAATTATGCAGCAATGTCGCATTGTTTATCCATCTTTGTCATCCAAGTGCAGCATCAGAAGAAGGGAGCACATTCTGCTAACTTAACGTTACGCTGACAACACACGACTTTTAACAAGAATAATGTAAAACTCCTCGTACCCATTATAACGCTACAAAGCCAACTAGCCGTTAATAAATTCTGCTAGACAAGAAAACAGTTCCCCACAGTTAACTTACTAACACAGTTGCTACCTAGCGTTAGCGCTAACATGGGTTAGCTTACACAGGGCAGCTAACGCTCACAAACTTAACGAACGCTAGCTTAAAAAAGCAACTTTACGCCCGCTAACCTTTTCTGGAACGTATCGGGATGGTCTCTGCTTCTTCCATATCTGTCACAGTTCAGTGTTTTCTCTCGACTTTGTCCAAATTAGATGTAAAAATGGCTCGTTAGACTTGTTATGGTGGTTCAACAGACGTTAAAGTAACGTTAACTTCTTAACAACCGAGCTCGCGCATCCGGGTTTGAAATTGCCGGGGGTTAACGCCTCCACTTCTCTGATTGGTAGATTTGAAATTGCAAAGATATGATACGCATGCGCGGACATCCTGCCCTGATTGGTGCAGAGAATGTAAACAGAGGTACATACAGGCACAGTTAACAGTTAACTGCAGCACCAAACACGATTAGTTTTAGTTTTTTAGTATAATAATAATAAAATGAAATAAATAAATAATAATAATAATATTAATACAATTTATTTCTATAGCACTTTTTTAAACCAGTTGCAAAGTGCTTCACAGTGCAATACCATACAACATGGGAAAACGAAGTAAAACATGAAAATGCAATTTAAGTATAATATAAATATACATAAAATATAATATATACCCACATATAAACACATACATACATACATACACATAAATGCTGTATGTGCGTACATACACACACCCTTACTCATAAATATACATACAGTCAGGTCCATAATTATTTGGACAATGATACAGTTGTCATCATTTTGCCTCTGTACACCACCACAATGGGTTTTAAATGAAACAATGAATACCTGCTTAAAGTGCAGACTCTCAGCTTTCATTTAAGGCTTTTTTCAAAAATGTAGTATGAACCGTGTAGGAATGACAACCATTTCTTCACACAGTCCCCCAACTTTAAGGGCTCATAAGTATTTGGACAAACTAACATAATCATCAATTAAACAGTCAGTTTTAATACTTGGTTGCAAATCTTTTACAGTCAATGACTGCCTGAAGTGTTGGACACATAGGCATCATCAGATGCTGGGTTTCTTCCCTGGTGATGCTCTGCCAGCCCTTTACTGCAGCCATCTGCACTTCCTGCTTGTGTTTTGGGTGTTTTGCCCTCAGTTTTGGCTTCAGCAAGAGAAACGCATGCTCAATTGGATTCAGGTCAGATGATATGACTTGGCCATTGCAGAACATTCCACTTCTTTGCCTTAAAAATGTCTTTGGTTGCTTTTGCAGTTTGCTTCAGGTCAATGTCCAACTGCACTGTGAAGCATCGTCCAATGAGTTTTGAAGTATTTGGTTGAATCTGAGCAGGTAATGTAGCCCCAAACACTTCAGCTTTCATCCTGCTGCTCTTCTCAGCAGTCACATCATCAATAAATACAAGAGAACCAGTTCCACTGGCAGCCATACATGGCCATGACATAACAGTACCTCCACCATGCTTCACTGATGAGGTGGTGTGCTTTGGATCATGAGCAGTTCCTTCCTTTCTTCCTTCTCTTGTCTTCCCATCATTCTGGTAGTTGATCTTTGTTTTATTTGTCCATAGTATGCTGTTCCACAACTGTACAGGCTTTTTAGATGGTTTTTGACAAACTCTAATCTGGCCTTCCATTTTTAAGGCTAACTAATGGTTTGCATCTTGTGATAAACCCTCTGTATTTATTCTAGTGAAGTCTTGTCTTGCTTACAAGAGCAGCAGGATGAAAGCTGAAGTGTTTGGGGCACCATTATCTGCTCAGATTCAACTAAATGCTTCAAAACTCATTGGACGATTCTTCACAGTGCAGTTGGACATTGACCTGAAGCAAACTGCAAAAGCAACCAAAGACATTTTTAAGGCAAAGAAGTGGAATGTTCTGCAATGGCCAAGTCATATCATCTGACCTGAATCCAATTGAGCATGCGTTTCTCTTGCTGAAGCCAAAACTGAGGGCAAAACACCCAAAACACAAGCAGGAAGTGCAGACGGCTGCAGTAAAGGGCTGGCAGAGCATCACCAGGGAAGAAAGCCAGCATCTGATGATGCTTATGTGTCCAACATTTCAGGCAGTCATTGACTGTAAAGGATTTGCAACCAAGTATTAAAACTGACTGTTGTTGGGAATAGAATGATGTTATGTGTTTTACTATAAGTTGTGTTTCACTATATAAGTTTTAGATGTGTGAACAATGAGAATACTGAGATGATTTCAGCTGATCTGAATGTGTTTGCTTTGCAGAAGTGGAGAAGTACAGGAGAGGAAGAGACATGAAGTCTGAGGAGCACATACCGCAGTGCTTAGATAATTAGTTTCATATATGGTAAAAAGAATAGAAAGTGATATACAGATAGTAAGGTACAGCACGTGTAGGGAGTTGTGTTGTTCTCTTGTCTTTCAAAACAGGAACCACGCCCCCACCGCCAGCGGGAAGGAGTCAGATTAACACGAGGCAGGGGCGTGGTGTGGTGAAGGAGGAAGTGGAACTGCCAATGAGAAGAGGACAACGCCTTACGTGCACAATGACACTCTGTTCGGTTAAATACACTGGGTCAGGAAGAGATAGTTGGTCAGACTTCGTGAACTGGCACCTTTGTTGTTCGTCAGGGACGTGAAGTTGAGACCCAGAGCTGTGTAATTTTATTCCTTTACTGCTTAATAAACTACATTAACTGAGACCGAATATCTTCTCCTATTGCTTCATTAAAGAACACGCTGGACTGAGCTCACACATAGCACATTAGAGAGTAGGATGAGACTCTCAGTCCATCACTGTTTAATTGATGATTATGTTAGTTTGTCCAAATACTTATGAGCCCTTAAAGTCGGGGGACTGTGTGAAGAAATGGTTGTAATTCCTACACGGTTCATACTACATTTTTGAAAAAAGCCTTAAATGAAAGCTGAGAGTCTGCACTTTAAGCAGGTATTCATTGTTTCATTTAAAACCCATTGTGGTGGTGTACAGAGCTAAATTGATGACAACTGTATCATTGTCCAAATAATTATGGACCTGACTGTACATACCCAGATACAAAATTGTACTATCTTGTTCACATGCCAGTCTGTACAGGTGGGTTTTTAACAGCTTTTTGTGATACCTTAACTCTTTTGTGCAATTGTTTAACTAACCTTAAGGGATTCCTTAAGTGTAAGACCAAGATAAGGAGAAAACCTCAAATACTTGAGTGACCATTTTAAGGAAACCTGAAGGAGAGGATATGTTTTGTGCAACTGATTTATTTTAAGAAAGCCTTAGCATGACGTTAAGGGAAAATCTTACTTTAAGATGTTTGTGCAACTGGCTTTTAGTTAAGTAAAAGTAGCAATACCACGGTGTAGAAATACTCTGTTACGAGTAAAAGTCTATAATTCAAAACATTACTTAAATTAAGGTACAAAACTATTTTTATTTATTTTTTATTTTATATACTTCATTAATCCCCCTGAGGGGAAATTCAGTTTTTTCCACTCTTTTTGTCATTAAACACACAGGTCTGAAAGTATTATAATATATGTTATTCTAAAATGAGCAATTCTGCATGATGACTACTTTTACATTTGGTACTTCAAGTATGTTTTATGCTATTATTGGATTATAATTATTGATGCATGTGTTCATTACTGATAAAGGTGGATCATTTGATTTCTTTATTTCGGCTAGACTGCTGTTGGGTTGCTTGTGAATTTCCTCCATGGGAATCAATAAATTTTTATCTTAATCCATAAAAATAGCTACATCCTAATTTATTTGCAGATTACATTTTAAATTATTAGTATCTTTGCATATTAAGATTAAAGAGGAATCCCTCAGATGTCATCAAACCTACCAATATGATAACATCCAAAGCCTGAAAAACAGATTAAATACAACTGCATCTACAGAGAGTCATCATGGAGCTACAATCATTAAAAGACTTCATGTCATTCTAAGAAATGTAAAGATGTTGTGTATTCCTACAAACCAAGTCAGTGGTAGATTCCAAACTGGGGTTTGTTTTTTACAGTAAAAATTGTATCATACTGTGTGTAAAATACTGCAAAAGTATTACTAGAAAAATATACTTAAAATCCTCTTGCAGAATGGCCACTTTCAAAGTGAAAGATTATTGTCAATTATTTTGTTTCATTATTACAAATGCATCAGCTGGTTGACTGCAGCTAATGCCTGTTAAAGTCCTTTATGAGTTGTTTCATTTACCAAATCCCGAGTAAGCACACAAAACGCAAATCCAAATAAGTTATAAGGATTTATTAAATATTTCACAGCACATCATATAAATAATCATTAGTAAGCAGATTTTCAAATAAATATATATGTTAAATGGTGCATAAATAGATTATTAAATTAACAGATAAAAGCATCAATACGCCATGTCAAACAGCATAATAAATAAACTTGGTGCTCACCTGGTAGCACAATGGTGCCACCTCCTGGTGAAGCTCGACTTAACACACAAGCATTTTTACTTTGTGTACTTGGTACATACAGTAAATAGACGCTCTGTAATACTTACAGTAGTCTTTTCAGCAGACAGCGGTAATACTTTTGTAAAAATAAATAGATAAATAATAAGAAGAAGAAGTGCAGAATATTTTACACTCATTCAACAATTGAATCTTCTTCTTAAGAGGATCAACGCTGGGCCCTCAGATGCAGATCCACCTCACGCTGTGGGTGTCTCCTCCTTGATTGCACTGAAGGTGAAGGCTCTGTAGCGGCTGGTGGACTCCTGGCACATCTCCACTGGCATGTTGTCAGCCTCTGCTGTGCTGATGTACCAGTTGGGGTGAGCAACAGACATGAGGGTGCTGACATTCACCCCAGAGATCTGCTTGTAGAAGAGAAACCGCACCATGTCGCTGTTCGGGTCGATTGATGCCAGGCTGTCTTTGGTAATCGTCTGAGGGTGTGAAAAGATAAAGGTCAGATGGTTTGGCCATCACACTGCACAACATTGGGTCTGAGGTAAATTCATCTATACACGTGCAGTGTCTCTGTCAGAATATGACAATTTAAATGACCAGGAAGATCTCATAAGTGGGTTTTTTTGGTCACTGCTTTGGCTTTAAAAATGTGGCACATGGGTTGAAGTTTACCCTTTAATCTTTATGTTAGATTCATGGAACGAGTCTTACCTCCAGATGTAAGGTTGGCTGGGCACCGTCCTTACGGCAAGTCAGGTAATACTGTGTGCCCTTGATGCCCAGAGCCACAGTTCTGCCCTCAACGCTGGGTGCAGGGTGCAAGTACATTGACATGTTCAGTTTAACTGAGGAGAGAGCAAAGGACACAGGTTCTGTTTAATGAAAGCTGAAAGACTATTTTCACACTCTGTCATACTTTCTTTGTGAAAGATGAACTACAAACCTGTCATTCCCAAATTTAAACATCTACCATGACCCAGAGAGTGATTTTCAATCTAACTGTCACATGCAATTACCTTGCTTGAGATCAGTTCCTCCCTGCAGCATCACTGCGTGGAGCACCAGGCTGTTATTGACCCGAACTAAGCTCCTCTTCTCCTCGTCCTCCACAGTGCAGTCGTACTCGCGCGTCCTGGTGATCATATCCTCATCAGTCGGTGGAGTTGCCTCACAACCGAACACATTTCTCTCTGAGGGAACAAGAGGCACATCTGATCAGACATGTTGCGATTTTGAAGCAACAGGAATTGCAATAGCAAAAGTCTCTTCCTGCACAAGCGATCCTTGAAAGTCATAAATCTGAGTACCTTCCTGAGTAATGTACAGCTGCACAGACAGTATATTTTGGTCGTTTTATTCTATGGAGCAATAAAAGATGTCACTTTAATAGGTGCGGCAAATGTAACAGGAAAGTAGGTCAGTGAAATACAGTCACACCAACACAAAAAGAGTGAAGGCGGATGTGTAGGGGCTGAAATCACAGGTGTTGTTGGTATCTGGGTGATAAACAATTTGTATCTGAAGGCCAACAAGATCATGTAAACTGTTCACTACCTATCAGTAAGTCACTTCCTACTCTTCCTAATGGTAAACTACTTAGAAGGCAGCACATCATCATTTTTATATACACAGATCCACTCAGCCTTTTAGGAACTTTAAAGTGAAGCAGAGTTGAAACTCTAACAGAGCAATGAGCCCAGTGAGTGTCTTTTTATGGTAGTGTTGAAATAAAGTCTGTGTTTTTACCTTCCATGATGCTCTCCAGCATGATGCTGAGCAGATGTTCATCTCTGAATTCAGTGCCCAGCACTGATTCTGAGATAATGCCCTTAAACCTCTGTGTGGCGATGATGAGGTTGGCCACGTGCTTCATTGTCAGTGGATGATGGGAAATCTCAAGTTCCAGTCCCTCAGGCATCCTGGAGCTCCACTTCTCGCTAACGTTGCATGTCATCTGGGATTCCATCTTTTTTTGAGTTAAGAAGAGTCTGCAGGGAGATAGAAAGAGATTTCCAGTGACACTGAATCATGAAGCATTTATAGAAACATTTACAGCTGGATTTAGCTCTACGTTTTACCAGCATTTACTGAACTTTTTATATCTAAAATATGATCTTTTTTCCTTTTACTTTCTGTTGTAAAGGCTACTGTACGTCTCTGTCTGCTGCTGCAGTGACTCACTACTCACTACACTTTACTATGAGGCACTTACACAGTCACACTGGACTGAATGGGGATTTGAAAAACATAAAATGATCTAGTAAAGCTGAAATTTTGTAGCTGCAGTGCAAACATTTCCAGCTGACAGCAACAAAATGAATTCTTCAGCAGTTTATACTGACAAAAATATAGCAAAGATCCTTTTTTGTTTTAATCTGGAGCATATTTTTCTGCTCTAGATCATAAAAACAAAAAGAAAAGACAAGAAAAGTCATTTTACCTGTGCAGGTCAGTGGATAAAAGTAGTAGAATTTGTTTTCAGTTTGTTTGCTAGGATCCTTTCAGTTGTCCTCTCAGTGTTATTCTGCCTGCCTGTACTGACCTGCATGGTTTTTATTCACACTCACTACAGCCGCCACAGGGATTTTCCTGCGCTGAAAGGAAGTGCGATGGCCTTAATGTCCACGCCCACTGTGATGATGAAATACTGTAACTTACAAACTGCTGCTGTACAGTATGTGATTGTGAAACACACAGTAGATAACAGTGTCACGCACTGTTTATGAATGAGGGATCAGATTTGTATGCCATTTCATGCAACAGTTATACATTTATAAACATATTGTCTTTTTAAGAATATTTTTATGATAGATAGATAGATAGATAGATAGATAGATAGATTCTGATTTCCCCAAACGTATGCATCTGTCTACCTGAGATTGTACATTCGACTCAAAGGGGGAATAAATGAATAAATGACTGTGAGAAATGGTCATGAAACCATCTTAAAGCAAGACAAAAAGGATTCAAAAAGAATCCTTCAGATGACCAGACCTACCCCAAATTCTCTTAACATCTAAAGCCTGAAAAACAGATTCAATGAAACTCCAATAAAACAGTCATCGTGGAGCCATACTCACAAAAAATCAGTTTTAGTAAGAAAATAACAACATTTTTATGCTTTCTCACAAATTTAACATTTTAAACCATTTAAACCGTTTTCTGTTTCGAGTTGTTTCAAGACATTTTTAATTGTCTACATGCTTGACTGCAGGACCCTGAACTGTATTACAGTTTCATCACATTAAGGTGAAGGAATGATGATACCATGACACAAAGTCACTCACTACAGCATCACGCCCCTGTTCCTGTTTCATTCCATTTCACCGAGTCATCAGCAAATTGTATAATGTGCCAGTTTTTATACATACTCTGGTTATCCTCAGTGTACGAGGTTTTAACCAAAACAGTGACATTTTGGGAGCTAAACTTCTCTTTGTGGCAGGGAATCTGTATGGCAGCTAGTTCGATATGAAGCTAATGCTACAGAAAGTAGGCTAGAGGGTTAGCTTAGCACCTCTAAAGCTCACTAATTAACATGTTGTATCTCGTTTGTTTAATCCGTACGTGTGAAAACAGGAGTTTGCCTTTTTATGTGCTGATGGACTCTTAGAAGTTGCCAGGCAACCAGCGGGGACTCCAGATGGTCCAGGTGTCATTAACCTGGCCCCCAGGAACGCCCCACAGCCTTGCAGCCAATTTACCCAGTGGCCACTAGCCTCGCGTCACCAGGCTCTTCACGTATGGCGAAGAGCATGGTTTCCACTCACTCTGAATTTTGTCTGGATTCTGGTCTAGAGAAATTCACCAAAGTAAAAGTGTTCACCAAAGTAAAACTTTGGCGCACCATCGTCTCGTCGCATCCTCTTTCACCGTTTTGACAGGTGTAACATTGTCAGGTAGCGATGTTGGCGATGCCATATTGTTGTTGTTGTGGTTAATAGAGCATGCTACATGGCGAGCATCACACAGTTTTCCTCTCTCTTCCGCCCCCACCGCCCCAAACTTTATCGAAAAAATGCATTTACAAACTACAGGTATGATGTACAAACTAGGATCAAGAGCCTATTAAATAAAACAGACAACTGAAATAGACAGTAACTTGTAATACAATTAAATACAATAAAAGAAAAGGTTAACTTAATGGCTTGGGGCTTTTCTTGTAAATTATATTCTTTAAATTAGAAAGTGTCATCTCATTTTTATTAGCTTGGTGCTTTTATTTTGACGGAAAGGCGCCATCCATCGAATTCCAGATCCTGTCTGTCTCGCCCTGGTTCTGGTTACTTACCAAAACGGCCACTAAACGGCCCCAGACTAAGTGGCCACTCACGGTATTGAGGCAGAAAAATTAAAATTACGACATGTATAGCTGCAGACACACTGCGTTTGCAGCGTACACGACACCCATCACTAGTTCAAGACAAACCCACCACCGTGAAGGTTATCTGAACCGTGTGACAACTCAACACTGTTGTGAACAAACATGAGGCTAAATGTAGCAATAATCCACTTTATAATCCATTATACATGAAGACAGATTCACTTTAGAAGTAACAATACGCAGCCCTTACCATTAGCCTTATCTTAATTTTAACCACCTCTCTTTAAAAACTTCATAGCTAGCTAATTGCTAACTTAGCATTTTTGTTGGGGCTTCCAATTCTGGGCCAAGAGCGAAGGGGGCTGCTCATGGACTGACATGTAGGGTAAGGTCAGCAGGTTACGTAGACGCTCCAGCTGCAGTTATATCTGCGGCCCAAAAAGCATTTTCCCCATAGACTATTATTAAAGAGATGTCTGTAAAACTGTTGACAGGACACGTTAGACTGCAATCAAGGTCCATTATGATTCTTTCTATTATATATTTTTACTCAGGAAGGATCCATGCATGTTTTAGATTTATAAAACTTTCTTTAAGGCAAGAAAAATCCATGATGTCATCACAATGTTAAGTCTTTTAGCTGAGCAGGAACCTGGGCAGGGCCAGCAGGAGAAACACTGCTGCACATACTCAGTGGGCCACATTTCATGGAAGTAAACCCAAAAGATGTAAACTTTTTTTTTTGGCTGGAAGTGTGCCAGGCTTGGAAATCAATTTTTGTTGTGGCCAAATATTGGTGCCATTATTTCCTGGCGTCTGTCACGTCTTGCCAATGAGCCAAAAAGACTTTTTTCCATAGACTTACATTCGGGAAAGAGACGTCTGTAAATCAGTGGGTTAAGATTTTTTGAGTGTCACAACCCCTGTGAAATTACTTGTTCCTCTATCAAGATTTAATCCATTTGGTCCGATAACAGTTAGTGGAGTGAACCAGAAGCCAGTTGCTCGGACGGCACCAGCTGGCTGCTCAGTCGCACTCAACCGTGCTCAGTGGCTGTGATTCTGTAGCGCACCTGCTCTATGGGCTCAGTGATTCAGACACAGTGCTGATCACCTGGGACATTTCTTACCGCGCAACTGGAGTTTTTTGGCTTCATGCACCACGGAGCACCTTTCATAGGAATGAAAAGGGCCCCACTGTCAATGCTGTATGCAGATCTCTTAATACATCCATGTACGTGCCAGACGAGCACCTCTATTGGAATGAATAGGCGCCATCCTGACATCAAGATCTTGATGATAACCTCTCATTGTATGTCAAATTTGCATTTTTACCCCCCAGTTTTTGTCGTTACAGTGAGCGGGCCTTTTTTTTTTTTGTAATACAAAAGTTGTATAAATCTCATCTAACTAAATGTATTTCCAAAAAACATCAGAGGTAAAATAGTCTAAGGTTGTGTGGCTGCACAGTATTAAAGGCTGATGGAAAGTCAGTAAAAGTGAGTAAAAGTTTGGGCATTATCACCACTTGGGTCATAAGATGTTGAAATAAAGTAAGGGAGGCATTCTCCACCACTCAACTGACCCTGTATTTAAAATGTAAAGGGTCTAATAATAGTAGTAATAATAACAATAATAATAATAATAATAATAATGATCATAATAATGATATAATATGATATAATAATATGAAGATACATAGAGATTTGTCACAACTGGGTGAAAGTATTTTCTACTCCTGAGAAATACCAAAAAATACACACCTTTTATGAAATGCTAAATTTTCTTATCCTCTGTGACCTAAACTTCTCACATCTTTGAGCAAGCTCTTTGGGGTTTTGTGGTTGCTTTGATGTGAAAAAATTCCACCAGCCGTAGTAGACTTGCTTGTTGTTTAGAGTTGCATAATAGCGGCTGAATCTGATATTTCTTCACTTCCCTGTTGGGGTGTGATGCAGGGGGAGAAGCTACGTCATCCACAGCTCCCAGCCAGAGTTCAGCCCGTGTGAGTTCAGACTGTCTGTAGGTGAAAGGGCTGCAATTACATTTACATCATATGCTGAGTGTGCTTTATATAAAACTAAAAATAATTATAAAACAGAACCAAAACAGAGTATATATACTACAGTTCCAAAGTTTTTAACCAGCTATTATATTGTTGTTCTTCTTCTTTTCTTCAATAATGGCTATTTTGACATCATAACAGTATAATTCAGACAACAAATATATTATTTACAATAGTTTTGACCAAGAAGGATTCAATTATTTAAACTTCCATCAAGCTGATGTCCCTACAGTGTTGCATGCCAGGGGAGAATACTGTTGGAACTTGGAGTTTGAAATCGGTCAGTCCAGCCTAATGGTCAGAATAAATGATGGTATTGTACATTTCTGCAACCACAGATACATTACATTTGTGCATAATTATGTAGCGGATACGATGAACTTTACTTTTTTTTTTTTTTTTTTACGTCTCAGCAACACTGTGGCTAATGTGTGGTTAGGTTTAGCCACAAAACCACTCGGGTATGGTTAGGAAAAAATCAGGTTTTGGCTTAAAAAACGTTGTGTTAGTTTAAAAAAACAAAACAAAAAACAATCACTTTTCATGCTACTATCCTGGCTGGAAAAGCAGCAATGTCCCGATTCAAAACTACCGCTTTACCTGGCACTATTGCGGCCGGAAACGCAACAATGTGTGCTTAAAAAATAACCACTTTCTGTGGTAATATCTCGGCCAGACACAGGGCAATGTCCCGGTAAAAAACAACTGCTTTTTTTCGCACTATCGTGGCCAGAAATGGAACAATGTCCCAATAAAAATCAACCACTTTTTGTTGCGCTACCACAGCTGGATATGCAGCAATGTCCTGGTATAAAACTACTGCTTTTCATGGCACTATCGCGGCCAGAAACGGATCGATGTCCTGGTAAAATACAACTGCATCTTGTGGCACTATCCCGGCTAGAAACATAGAGAATGGTAGCTAAAAGACAGTTGTTTGAGGTTGGGGACAGTTGTACAAAACTACGTAGTGCATACAATGAAACTTCACGTTTCTTTACCCCTCAGCAACGCTGAGGTTAATGTGTGGTTAGGTTTAGTCACAAAACCGATTGGTTACGGTGTGGACAAAAAAAAATCAGGTTTTGGCTTAGAATACCCGCAACTGGTGGCACAATCCAGACTTGAAACAAA